TTGAGTCCTGCCTCCCAACATTTCCAGGATCCCAGCTTCAAATCAGCCTCAAACTCCCTTCCTGTTCGTTGGCCAACTACTGTCCTCTCAGCCGTAGTTCCCCCATTTGCAATTTGAGGATAATGAGATTGGCCTACCTTAGATGGTTGTTGTTAAAATGAGTGAGATAAGGCATGTGAAATGAAATATACACATGAAATGTGCTGCATAAATATGACTATTATTGCTATTATGAACGCCTTTCCATTTCAGATATGTTGGACTTTTCACAAAGCTTCACTTTGCCTCGCTCACTCTTAAGACTATATTTTATTCTGCTGTCGCAAATGTAATTTTATTTTTGCATGTAATTTTAATTCCCTCCCCTGCTCCCCCAAACATTCATTTTTACAGCTTTGCCTTTTTCCATACAACATTTACCTCCATTGGCTGCATTCTCTAAACAGTATATATTCATTGGAGTTAATAAATCACCATTCATTTCCTACTGATATTTTCCAGAACAGAGTTATTACTCAATCTATCTCTACCGACAGCTGTTCCAGACTTACCACGAGATTTCTGTGTATTCATAACACTATTTATCACCGTACCTGTCTTAAATATTAGTGCAATAGCACAAGCTTTCACTAAAAGCTTAAAGTTTAATCTGTCAGTAAAGTATGTAGAATCCTACTTCTGTTATTAGAAGGTATTATAGGAGTTTTGCCACTTATTGGTTTTGCCACTTATTGGTTGCATGACATTCTCCCTTCCTTCAGCAAATTCAAGGTTAACATCCTGATCAGAAAAAGGAAGCTTTTTACAGTGAGGAACCATATTCTTCTGTTTCTGTCTAATGTGAATATGAAATGAATTTTAACCCCAAAGACCCTTATTACTAGCAAACTTCGCATTTTGCAAACATAGACATGTGTTTCTTGTTGTAACTGAAGATCTTGCCCAAATATGTTTATTTTTGTTTGTCTTAATTTCTCAGATATGATGCTCAGTTTCCAACATTTCCACACCAGTTTGCATTTAAATAGAAATAAAAATGTCCTCGTGAAAACTTCATCAGCATTGTAGAGTCATTGTGTCCAAATAGATACATGTCTGTATGCGATTTTGCCCAATGTACACATATTTGCGAATGGATTTTTCCTGCTGTAATACACCTTTGCAAATTGTTTTCACCAATATACACATTGGTATTTTTCCAGTGCATCAATACCAGTCTTTTTGCTGTAGTAAGGGTGCAGAAAGTCCATTCATATTGTCCCTTTGTGAGGTTCCATGAACTGGATATATCAGTCAAAAGAATATATTCCTCAGCAAATTTAATTTTTTTCTCCAAACAATCATATTGATCATTTCTATTACCCTCTGCCAAAAATTTACCAATATAGGACATTGTAGGAACATAGGTTTTAAGGAAGTGTTGTCCCTATTATATCTCCAGCAGCTAGATGTCTTGAATGGCATGTAGCCCAGTATTGTTGATGCTGTTTAGCTACTGTCAAAGAGAACAACAACTACCAGACTTTTAGAAGACATCTGAAGGCAGCCCTGTTTAGGGAAGCTTTTAATGTTTGATATATTATAGTATTTTAATATTTTTTGGAAGCCGCCCAGAGTGGCTGGGGAAGCCCAGCCAGATGGGCGGGGTATAAATAATAAATTATTATTATTATTATTATTATTATTATTATTATTACTGCTGACCAGGGCTGGGACTGAACCTGGGACCTTCTGAATGCAAAGCAGATGCTCTACTACTGAGTTTGTGTAAGGGGTTACCTGTTTAATTTCCAGGGATTGAACTTTGGACCTTCTGCATGGAAAGACATTGAGCCCTAATCCTCTCCCAGATCCTCCTTCAATACAGGCCACAGAACCTTCATGATTCCCATTTCTTCCCATGTGTGACTTTGCTTCCTATGGACAGGAACAGGTAGCAACTGCCTTATACTGGGCCACACTGTTGCTTCATCTAGCCCACTCTCCAAAGAGTGCTTTAGGCACACCAGGCTCTGGAAAGAACCAACCTGGACATACAATCCATTACTAAGAGATACCTCAAAACAGGAAACCAGAAGATCTCCACAAGGAAGGAATAGCACGCCACCATTTTGACAATGTCTCTTGAACTCATCTCTTTGAGATCATGTGATGGTGGGGCAGAGGTCAGGGCCTCTGATAAGTCAATGATTTCATTGCTCAAATCATTCATTCTACAGCAAGAAAACTCTGGGTTTCCTTTTTAAAGGTATTTGGAGGGATAATGACAGACAACTGCTCATTAAGACCTAAAGGGTCTATGGGTTCTTTCTCCAGCTCCTTGTCCATAACAGAACTAAGGAAGAAGGTTTGTCCTCTTAGCATTCAGTTCATCTGACGTGTCTCATCCAAAAACTAGAATATGAAATACATATGAGAAAAAGGCTGTCACTTGTTAAGTTTGAAAGCCATCCGTAAAATAGAATCCCTCCACACTGAAGAAAACATGGATATTTGTTTCTCCTTTGCTGTGTGATCCACTGGCCTATCTATATTCAGCAGCAAGCTTTTTATTTTTAAGCAGAGAACCCAAACTTATCATAAGGTTAATGAACCACAACACTTGTCCAATCAAACCCATTTGTCATTGAATGAAATCACTCATCTGCCTCCCCTCCTGAAACTGCAGGTATAAAACTGTCAAGACATAGACCTTATTTATGGTTCTCCAAGGCAGTAATTGCTTTTGAATATTTACAGGGGAAGCCTTTGGAATCACAGAAATGAGGAAGTGGAGGAAAGGAAACTTTTTGGAAGGCAAAGTGGGCTGATGGAGACCCAGGACCCAGTTCCTAGCACAGTGAGTTTGGGAGAGGAAGGAACAGCCCAGCATGCAGGGATGTCCGACTATGCCATCTTCATTCCTTCATTCATTCATGCCGGCAATGATCTCTTCATTGATTAAGAATAATAATAATAATAATTTTTATTTATACCCCGCCCTCCCCAGCCAAGGCCGGGCTCAGGGCGGCTAACAAGCAATGATAAAAACAAGTTGAATGATTACAACTTTAAAACAAAATTAAAATACAACATTAGAATATTGAAACATTAAAATACTAAAATGTAGCCTTATTGCAGGAGGAGAAAGGAAAAGAAAAAAGAAAGAGAGGGAGGGAATCAAATTGGCTCCAAGCCAAAGGCCAGGCGGGACAACTCTGTCTTACAGGCCCTGCGGAAGGAAATCAGATCCTGCAGGGCCCTGGTCTCATGAGGCAGAGCGTTCCACCAAGCCGGAGCCAGAGTTGAAAAGGCCCTGGCTCTGGTTGAAGCTGATCTAACTTCCTTAGGGCCCGGGACCACTAGGGTGTTGCTATTTATGGACCTTGAGGCTCTCCGTGGGGCATACCGGGAGAGGCGGTCCTGTAGGTATGAGGGTCCTAGGCCGTGAAGGGCTTTAAAGGTCAAAAGCAGCACCTTAAATCTGACCCTGATACCTGACTAAGTATCCCTAGAAGATAAAACCCAACCAACCGCACCCCAAGCAGGGAAGGCAGTCCCATGGTGTTTTGTTAACTGTCAACCCCCCTCTCCCTCCTGGATTGATTGGAGGACTGTTGGTTCTATCTGTGGCTGTGGGAATATTAATGAGGTATGTGCTATAAAATGTGGATCACTGGGCAACAAAGAGCCAGCTTTGAATTCAGAAGATCTGTCCATCCTGTCTCACCAGGAGTACAGTAGAGAAGGTTGATCATTCTGATAAGTTTTTGGAACATTAGGCAAAGGTCCAGATGTAGATTGGGTGCTGGATATCTCCAGATTGTCAGCAACATAGAGTTATTTAGGTGTTGTTGCCATAGAAATGTCGGAGGCGCCAAATTCCTCATCTAATTCGGTGTCGTTTGAAAAGGGAACAGGGAGTTGCACTGATGTCTTTCTATGGGATAAAGAGCTGTTGGACATCTTTAAATATTGTGCTCTAGGCTCTACTGTCCTTATATTTTGGGTAGAAATCTCAGTCTTTATACTCATTAGCCTCTTCTTCGGGTCTTGTAATTCTAGGCTTACAGAATTCTTTTCTTCCTTCGGGCAATTAGTGTTTCTAGTGTTGAGCTTGGTTTCCCTTATCCGCATTAGCTTTGACTCTATGCAAGGGACCAATTGCCTCCTTGTTTCGTCTTTAAATACCCTCACTGAGCGGAGAGAATGGAACCACCATAGAGTATCCTTTATCTCCATGAGTCGAGATGGGAGGGTTGATGACCTAATGGTCATAAATAGGCGCATGGTGTTTCTCAAGGTAGGCAGGAAGTGGAAATTTTCTAGATCTACATTTCGGTAATGGTAATTCAGGAGCTGAGACAAGGACATAGTAATTTGTCTGCGGTTCATCCACCTATGAGCGTATTGGTGAATCTCAAGCATTATCTGGTTCGTTTGCAAGACTTGACAGGACCTCACTTCATCCATAGTTGGAGTCGGTGAGTTGTTAACAAAGTCATTTCTTATCATCCTTTTAAGCCCTTGGGCATTTAAAGCGGAGGAACTAGTATCCAATTGTTTCTCAATGTTAACTATTTTGGTGAGGATTTCATTCAGTCTTTGGAGAACCAGAACCATAGTTTCTGCAGACAACATGCAAATCTCTTGGTAGGGGTGTGTATCCGGAATCGGTTGAAAGCAGGCTTCTCTAATATCTTGTTCTAGAGGCAAGGGTGGGTCAGCGTTAGGAGTGGGAGGAATCCCTCCTGCTCCTGCTCTTGCCCTCTTGGATGGATTAGCTTTTTCTGGGAGGAGGGGGGTCGGGTCATTATCTTCCTTAAGGGGGGGTGAGGTTCCCCCAATGTTGTTACTCAGTGTTTGTTCTATTTGCTCCGTTTTCTCAGCTTCCTCAACCTGCTCTGTTTCTGAGTCAGGGAAGATGGCATTGGCTATCTGCCGATTCTTTGTTTTAGAGGAATTGTGAGTCCCAATTATGCTCTTCTGGCTCTTTGCACCTCGTTTTCTCCTTCCGGCAGGCATTCTCAATAAAGGCCTCAGGTTGTGTGAAGGTCAGTAATTAAGCCTCTTCAATGTTTCCTGGCCTGGCCTGGGGAGAGGGCTAGGACTCAAATCCAAGTTTCAGCCACTTCAGCCTTCCTTGCCTGGTCTGAGGAGTGACAGTTGGAGAAGTGGTCTGAGGAGTGACAGTTGGAGAACTAGGCCTCAAACCTTCCTGGCCTAAAAGAGCAGGTTTTAGCAGGGAAAGCCCCCCCCCCACACACACACTCAGAGATGGAGATTTAAAGCACAGACCTGGAAAGAACAGGGCAAAATTTAAGTGTGGATAAGCCCTTAGATTTAAAAAGAAGGAGATGTTCCTGCCTCTCTCATGACACTCAACCCTTCCGAGCTGCCCTCCAGTACATATTTCTTCACCAGGTTTATGGACTGCTGGGTGCTGGTCATTTCCTCTCCCCTTCTTTCTCTTTTCAGTGCCTTGAGACCACGCATGGACCCCCTGCTTCGGTCTCAGCTGATACAGAAAACCATCAGGAAGGTCTTTCAATTGCCCTCATTACAGTTTATAAAGGTCAAAGCCGGGAGTTCCGTGCCAGCAACACAGAGCCAGGTGACTGGACCTTCTTAAGGACATAAGTAGAGCCCAGTTGGATCAGGCCAATGTGGAAACCTGGAGAACTGATCTCAAGATTGGAAAAAATGAGAAACTGAGAAAAATGGAAACTTACCAATTCACCCTTCCATAAGGGCACAAGAGTCAAAGGAATATAATCAACTTTACAATACTCTACTCATGAGCAAGAATGCTCATGAATGGAACTTCTGCCTCCCCCTCGCCCGGTGTCACCTTGGTGGGGATTGGTCTGTTGACAAGGGGTAGCCAAAGTGCAATGTTCCCCCTGTCAAGATAGGGTCATTTATCATGTCGGTCATTATGACTTTTGAATACACTAGCCCTCATGGATGGCTGTGTTTGAGACTAATGAGCAATTTGTTCTCCATTGCTAAATGGTTTGGAAATGTTCATCTCATCTCTAATGAGTTGTGGAGATGAATAAGGGGTTGACCTTTTGTTTTTGTTTCGTTCTTGCTTGTTTTCTTCTCTTTCGCAAAGAGTAGGATGGCGTTGGCAATGAGGGGTCGGGGAGCTTGTAACATCATCTTGTAGGCATTGTACAGAAGTGTGTTCTTTCAACCATGTCTTAAATAACTTTGAGTTAAAAAAATAAAGTGCCAAATCTAGTGACCTCTCGTTTGCCTGCTTCTTCAATCCAATAAATGACTTCTTCTTTTCTTTCTTTATAAAAATGCAGATTATTTTCCTTTAGGCTACACAAAAAAATCCTGTTGGCATGCAGCCACAGATGCAGTTTCCGAGAAACTTATCTTTTTTTAAGGCATGTTAAAAGCAAAGGCAACTGTGTTGGTTCTTAAAAGGGTGTAAAGGGATCCAAAACCAACACTTTTGGATAGCACAAAAAAGCGAGCAAACTCTTGAATTTCCCACAGCTCTTCACAAAGGTATATGTTCCACAAAGCAGAAAGGGATGGAGTGGGAGAGAGGGGGAAGAGACAAGGAGACAATGTCGTGTGGGTATTGTAGCCATAAAGTTCACATTTAGACCAGTGAGATTACCTAGAGGGGTGTGGGTAGCAGGGGGCCCTGGAGATGTTAATGAGACAATCAGACTTTGGCTCAAGTTGAATTCATCAAACCAATTAATTTTAATTGAATAAATGTGCAATTAATTAATTGTTACTGTTTTGAACTGTATTGTGTTATCATCTTCCTTAGTGGGTTGTGACAACTGTTATTTTGAATAGTGGTTTTTTTGTTACAGTCGTACCTTGGAAGTCAAACAGAATAAATTCTAGAAGTTCATTCGACTTCGAAAACGTTCAAAAACCAAAATGCAGCTTCTGATTGGCTGCAGGAAGCTCCTACAGTCAATCGGAAGCCACGGAAGCCCCACCAGACATTTGGCTTCCAAAAATAGTTCACAAACCCGAACAGTCACTTATGGGTTTGCGACGTTTGGGAGCCAAAACGTTCGAGAATTAAGCTGTTTGACTTCCAAGGTACGACTGTATTAGGATAGTGGTCACTGGGGATGAATTTATGGAAACTGAGCAGAAGGTGATTTAGGCTTAGTCCTCGTCTTTGCTATACATTCAAAGGATTACCTCTTTAAACAGTCATATATTCCCCAAAAAGAATCCTGGGACTGTAGCTTATTAAGGGCAATGAGAGTTGTTAGAAGAACACCCTGCCCTTTCCCTCACAGCGCTATGATGCTTCATTTTCTGGGAAGAAGGCTTGTTGCACCATCCTGGGAACTGGGCCTTTACTCCTGCCTGCCCTGGCCTTCCCTGGGACCACTGTCCCCCTCTCCTCAGCACTGCTCAGCAGCTCTCATTCTGCATGAGGGATAAGGGAGGCCCCATGGATCACAATGGTGAACTGCTCATGAATAAGGCCCTCTCTATGCACCAAGGAGGAGAAAGAAAGTGAGCTTTGCTGATGGCAAGCCAAGGGAACATTTTTCAGGGGCCACATGCACTTCTGAGCAGTGTTCTGGGGGCCACAAACAAGCAGTGGGCTGTGGACAGAACCTGGGACCTTCTCTACCACTAAGCTGTGGTCCTTCATCCCCAAAACAGGAAGAGTCCTTCCATTCCGGGCTGCTGACAAACAGCCACATGCCCAAGATACTATCAAATAAAGGGTAAAGGTAAAGAACGACTATGGGGTTGTGGTGCTTATCTGGCTTTCAGGCCGAGGGAGCCGGCGTTTGTCGACAGAAAGCTTCCCAGGTCATGTGGCCAGCATGACTAAACCGCTTCTGGTGCAACGAGACACCGTGATGGAAACCAGAGCACACAGAAACGCCATTTACCTTCCCTCCATAGCAGTACCTATTTTTCTACTTGCACTGGTGTGCTTTAGAACTGCTAGGTTGGCAGGAGCTGGGACAGAGCACTGGGAGCTCACCCCATCGCACGGATTCGAACCGCCAACCTTCTGATCAGCAAACCCTAGGCTCTGTGGTTTAACCCACAGCGCTACCCACTCCTCGGCCTGAAAGCGAAATGAACACTGCAGCCCCATAGTTCCCTTTGACTAGACTTAACCGTCCAGGGGTCCTTTTCCTTTACCAAATAAAGGGGAAACACCTTTATTTATTTTACTTAACTTTTATCGTGAAATTTATACGCTGCTTGATTGCATGATTTCTTCCCTCCTCTGGAATTGCTCATCTTTGCCATATCAAGCCAATTGGCACACACCTGCTGGCCTCTAAAACTGTCTCCCAAGCTGCCTCTTCTTCCCCACCTCTCCTTCAGCTAGCCTTCCCTGCTTTTGCTCATTCCCACACCTCCATCGACGTCTGCCAGCCAAGAGTGGCTGGCCACAATGCGGCTGCGAGAGCATAAACGAACGAAGGCAGTTTGGATTATTTTTCTCCCTTGGGGGTTACCCTCTGGCCCGCAGGCATGTCTTTTAAAAATAGCTTCCCCCTGACTGATCCCATTATTATCACAGATACAATTCCCAACTCAACTGTCCAGATCAGAAATCAAGCTGCCTCATTCAAGAGCAGCAGACAACATAGGCCGGCTTCCTGTTGCGTTCCAACAAGCTTTTCGCTCTTATGCCATGGAGCACAGGAGTGTCTGAGGATTGTTTTCCTCGCTTTCAGGTTGTTTGATCATGCCTGTCACACAGCAGAAGAAGCTGGAGGCAGACCACTGGTGAATCCGAAATGGATGCTGATAGAGTCAAATCTTACTTTCCCGGTTCCATTCAGGTAGCTGCAATTTGCTGTTTGTGCGGACGCCTCAGAACTTCCTGTATAGAATTCGTGTAGAGCATGGCTTCCCAAACTTGGGTTTCTCCAGCTGTTTTTGGACTATGTTAACAGAGAAATCCGAGGGCTCCCTTGGACAAAAAGCGAAGACACCAACCAGGACAACTGGAGCGAAACAGCAGCCAGTAGGCTTGGTCTTTATTGAGACTGTCGCGACAGGACTCCAACTCACTACAGGATGAAGCAAGATGGAAGCCCTGAAGAAAAGAAGACCCCAACTTTTATTAGCTATTAATCCCCCGTGCTACACCCCTAAGACTACATCATAACTACATCCTGACTACATCACTGACACATCACAAAGAGGAAGGGTTCAGGGAGGAGTTGTGGTAGTAACCTGAGTGTCTTGTCACCTGTCCGGTTCCTCCTTTCCCCCTCCCCATGATTACATTCCTGAGGACAAAGAGGAGTTCACTGTTTCCTGCCCCCAGAGGGAAGGGCTGGTCACTGTCCTTTGTTTCAGTCCGTACTGAATCCACTTCCATATGCAGGTCCTTTGTGAGTGTAACAATCTTCTGTCTAGGACCCATCAAAGTTGGCATGCCAACTGGGTAGGGCTCGCTGCAGACATGTTGGTACGCTTGGGGGATTATGTCTGCCTTGTGTCAAGTCTCCCCCCTTTGTTGGTCCTTCCTTCATGGTGTAAAATAAAAGTGGAACGGTACAGATAAACTGAATGATTGGGGTGGGGGGGTTCCTGCAACAACTACAATTCCCACCATCCCTGACCACTGGTGCTGCAAGCTAGGGACGATGGGAGTTGTAGTCCAAAAACAGCTGGAGACTCAAGTTTGGGAAACCCTGATGTCGAGAGCTAGCTTAGTGTAATGGTTAGAATATCAGGCTTGGGAGACGCGAGTTTGAATCCCCACTTGGGCATGAAGCTCCTTGGGCGACCTTGGGGCAGCCTAACCTGCCTCACAAGGTTGTTGTGGGGATTAAATGAGAACCATGTACACCACCTTGTGCTTGTGGGAGAAAATAGTGGGATATGAATGCAATAATCAAAGAAATAAAGTACGGAGTCCAACGTCCATCAGGCATAGCCAGCATTCCTATGTTAGGAAAGAATTAGGAATGCATTACAATTGGAGTTGTAGTCAAAGAACATCTGGAGGGCTAGAGTTTGCCCACTGTGTTCATGTGTATAATGTTCTTATCCACCTATATTTTGGATAGAGTGATTGGGATATGTGTCAGACATATACAGTGACCTTGTATGAAATTGGGAGTGCAAGGAGAATCAGTCTGCCTCATCATTCGTGGGTTTTTTACAAGCCCAAGTTGGTCTGTGATGTTAACAATGTACCCTGAGTTGGAGGTACATCTCTTTTGTCAGCAACTTTCAGTTTTTTCTGTTGCAAATTGCATCAGGAAACCCAAAGGGAATTAGATAGTGCAGATGAGAGTTTGTTCAACCCCTATATATAGCCAATCCAAAGCAGATGTACAGATGAAATTATTGGAATGTATCCAGCTTTCTCCTGCTCAGAGTCATGGCTTCCCACAAATAGTCATGGCTGTTCTGGGAGTTCTGGGAGCTATAGTACATTAAGGCTCTTGAGAGTTATTAGGTGACTCTCAGTGCCTCTCCCAGAGCTGCTATTCTGAGTTCGATCTGACGATTTATTAATCATAGAATCATAGAATCATAGAGTTGGAAGAGACCACAAGGGCCATCGAGTCCAACCCCCTGCCAAGCAGGAAACACCATCAGAGCACTCCTGACATATGGTTGTCA